GTATGACTGCTTATGAGCAAATTAGGTATTTTGATAAAATAATAGAAAACACGTTTATCAAGATCTTAACATTCATTTTATGCCACTGTAGTTGTGAGGACAAAATTTAAAATAGAACATAATCTGTGGTACATTTGCAAAAGTGGCCTCTTCAACAGGTGCTCAGCAATTTTTACTAGGGTGCCAATGCATATAAAATTACCCTGCACCTAATACACACTTAGGCTTGTAGCCTATGCACAAAAATAACGAGACTTAAAAAATCATCATGTTCAAAGTGACTGCAGCCATTTCTCCTTTCACATTTTTAAGTATGCTAAAACAAAGTAGGAACATTACAAAGAGGGGAGTGCTAGACTTGCACTGGTTTCAATCACCTGGTTTAAAGACCATGTCTTTACAGACATCATATTCTGCAAGTGGCATAGTCTTATAGGATGAACTTATTTTGACACTGCTGTGTATTTAGTTTACCACTGTTATTTCTACAAAAAAAATTAGTACATGGCTAAACAGTAGCCAGAAACCCACCCCCAAAATTTGAAATAATGATGAGAGACAAATCATCATCATACTGCTAAACAGATTTGCAGTGCTTTTAGAACTTGCACTTTTCTGATCCCACATCTCAAGGATGTAGTAAAACTGAAAAAGGTACACACAGCAATGGAATAATAGAACCCTAAAGTCAACACTGCTTTAAGATATCATAGAATCATAGAATCATTAAGGTTGGAAGGGACCTTAAACATCATCAAGTTCCAACCCCCCTGCCATGAGCAGGGAACCCTACCACTAGATCAGGTTGCACAAGACCTCATCCAACCTAGCCTTAAAAACCTCCAGGGATGGGGCATCAACAACCTCCCTGGGCAACCCATTCCAGTTCCTCACCACCCTGATAGTGAAGAACTTCTTCCCTAATATCTAACCTAAATCTCCCTTCTCTGTTTAAATAAGAGCAACTGATTACTTCCATTTAAGAAATAACTGAATTGGCTATGGCTCTTTATTCTAGAAAAGTGACAACCAACATGGCAGAAGTCTGCATAGGCCACATGGAATGATGAATAAAGAGCAAAGGCTTATTGTACCTTACAATAAAAATACTATTTGCTTCAAGTGAAACTAGCAGGTTCAGAAACAAAGAGAAGATATACTTACATAGTGTGTGAAAAACTCTTTACCACAGGACCTTGTGGATGGTAATAGTGTTCAAGAAGAATTCTAGAAAGGATTGGTCAATTTCATCAAGAATAATACACTGAGAGCTATTCAATTAAAAAAAAAATCACAGCTGTCTCAGGAAGAATCTGGCTTACAGATCAGTGGGTAATAGAAGAGTATTCAAACCTGTTATTATGCTCTTTTGGACTGCTCCTGTTGACTGTTCCGACACATGATGCTAGGATAGACAGACCTTTATTCGTACAGCACTATTGTACTTCGGGTGAGAAAACTCACTTCACATGCAGCTTACAGAGAACAGGCTTACATGAATTTAAGCCTTGTGAACACCTCCTGCTGTTCTTTTTTAAAGGAAACAGCCTAATAATAAACATTTATGCTTTAATAAGAAAACTATTAATTTACTTTAAGATCCATTTGGACTACTAAAAATCTGAACTACTACAAAACTGAAGCAAAACCAGCTATGAAAACAACTCTGTGATGAGGCTATGGACTCCCTTCAAATACCAACTTTTAGTAATTTTCGGACCTACTTACATGAGACAAGTAAGTTTCTCTTCACTTATCATGAGAATTTTTGCTTTACTTTTCACACTGTACTCTTTGCTGCATCACAAAGTGCAATCAGAATGGGTTTGAATGACTTAACAGTGACACACTTGGTTTGAACAGGTACTTCCACTATTGCTAATACTTGTGAAATTTAATTGCTTCTAGTATGGTAAAGGCAGAATCCCTAGAAGAGAGTGGCAGTGTTTGAAAAGTGAGGCAAAACAAATGTGATTTTCTACTCAAAGCAAAGCAAAATTTTGCAGAATATGCCCTTTTAGGTAAGTATCAAAGATAGCATCAAAAAAGTGGAAGTCAATAATAAACCCAAAGTCTTGTATGTAATATAGTGTCTGAATATCTGTATATTGTATCTGAAGATTTCTAAAAGCCAAGCATTTTACAAGCTCTGAAAAACTTAACATATTTTCTTCAAAGATTCATTTTTATATAAATTTATTTGTGTAATTATTGTCTTTTTAACTTCAAGTAAAGATGCTTCTGCTTTAATTAAAATGAAACATGTGGTACAGAGAATCAAAGATATGTAGCTAAATGTCATGGGTTATTTACTTCTATTTGAAAAAGTCTTACTCTGACCAACATTTATATTATTGGAGAACAGTAATGGGAAGCGGAATTTTATTCACAAAAATGACTAAAATTTGTTTTTACAAAATAATGAATCATGTAAAGCCATTACATAGCAGTCTCATGCCTTTCTCCTATAGGATATGGAAGATGAACAAAATTCCACAAAAATTCTAATAAAACTGAATCAAACTTTTCATGTTGCAAAGTATGGAAGTATTATAAAATATTACCATAGTAATTTAGAAAAAATATAGAAATCAATCAGGTAAGTAGTGTGATGTCTGAGTTTCTCAATTGAGCTCTTCTAACTTTTCTCTTTATTAGAATAAAAGTACAAATCTTTCTACTACATCAGCATGCACAAAAGTGTCACACAAGATTTGTTCTCCATCCAGGCCACTTGCAATATTAGAACCTAGTCTCAAGCTTTCTAAACAATGTAGATAATTTAGTCTACAACAAACATAAATGAAAATTAAAAAGGAAAAACAGCCATTGTAAGAGAAAAATCCCAAGAAAGTCAGTCACAAGTTTCCATCAATGGAAATGAAATATGTTGCTTGGTTTAGTCCACGTAAAATGTCCATGAAGAAATGGACATCTCCTGCCAGCTTCCTCTGTTGGAAAAATCACCTATAGCATTCAACTGCAAAATGCAGCCAGACGCAAAGAGCTTTATCCCTGTACACAAGCAGACACCACTTACTACTTGGTACCTTCAAAACAGATTGCGTAACACCTTTAACAAGAAGTGTAACAGGTAGCTTTTTCTAAAAGAAAAACAAACATTCTCCCATCCCAAAACCAGCAGCTTCCATCTTTCCCAGCCCTGAGATAAAAGGAAATTGCTGATCCAGAAAGAGGCAATTTCTGAATTAAGTTTTTAATTAGTGCAGAAAGGGTAAGTACCTATGGAAGGCACAAGCAATTCTTCCCCTCACTGTATCAGAACTCTAGTTAACTAGTTCTAGATCGCTTTTCAGAAGGGCATCCAACACAGAGGGGGTAAGATGTGTTTTGATACTTCAACCTAACTGCCAAACTCTGCATAGCAAATGGGAAGGGTAAGGAAAAAACTCAGCAAGATGAGAAGCAAAAGCTTAAGCTTTATCTTGATCAAAATCAGTCCAAGAATTCAGCTAAATATAGATATATGTGCCTTTACCAGCCTTTGAAGTCACACCTATTAAAAATGCAACTAAAGTTTACGAGTTCTTCTGCAATATTCCCTCCTCGTTTCTAAATAAACAACCAACAGAAAAATCCTATCCCCCTGCAATGTTCAGTCTAAGACTTTATCTTCCAAGCGACTAATAGACTGAGACTTCAGATTTTAAAACACTTATAAAATAACAATCTTCCATAAAATAAGAGCTACTAGATAGGTGTCCTTTTGTTATATGCTAAGACTCAAAAAACATCAAACTCCTCAACTTCCATGAACATTGCACTATGCACCTGTGAACCCAGCAGATGTGCAGAAAACAACCCAAGGGTTTTATCAGAACAAAAGCTGAACATCAGGCAACAAATATTAAATACACTGCATAAAAAGGGAAGGTTTATGTAATATGTTCCCATTCAAAGCACTAATAAGGCCTCCTTTAATAGTGTGCAAGCATTTAACAGTGCTTACAGATAAACAAATTAAAAGCTAAGAAAAAAGTACATATCTAGAAAGCATGATTAGGGAAAAAATGGATAGCTTGTTATGGCTAGACAAGGAAGGAAAAAAAAATAAAATGAACTGTTTAATAGATCTATGAGATTTATGACAAAACATGGTAGTCCTGAATGGCAACCAGTATGACTTAGACCAGTGTCTGCGAAACCATTTCTTACCACATCACTGGAGATTTTAGGCAATATAACCAAACATTTAATAAGAATGGATGAAGTATGGGTTATCTGGCCTTGTATCAAGAGGATCAACAAATTGGCCTTCCTTCCAACTCCTATTAAATAATGTGAAATGTGAATTACAAAGGTAAGCAGGAGAGATTAAATAACTTCATCCTACTACATTCCAAATGCTGAGATATATCTGCATTAAGTAGGAAGATGTGTATATACGTATTCTGCCCTGGTGTAACAGGCAGATAAATTTTTCAACTACCACCCACACAAATAAGTACAGCAACTTGTTTTATTATATGCAGATCCTTCTGCATTGTTGCTAAACAGTACACTTGTCCAAAGTTACTAAAATACTTAAAAAACTATACATATGTAAACAAAACATAAATACGACAGCATAGTTCTTTGTACATACAGTTTAGTACATACTGTTAGGAATTCATGAATATGTACAGTTCTGTACCATAGACTGCATTTTCACAATGCATAAATATTTTTACAGGACCAAATAAAAAATAAATGTGACAAATAAAAAGGAGATGTATACTGTCATAAACACACTGGCAAACAGTCCCTACTGTAAGATGGATCATGTGCAAAAGGCTACGTTTCTCTGAACTAAAATACTTAATAAACTCCTTGGTCATTACTGACCTTGTTACTAAAGAACTCTGAAAGTATCTGACTAACTAAATGAATTTTTCTTCCTCCTCTAAGCCCCACACAGAAATACGAAAGAACTGTAGTCTTAAGCAATTTTGAGTAAATCAACTGTTTCAAACAATCTAAGAAATTATTCAATAGTTACAACTTTCAAAGTCAGAAGAATCCCCAAAAATCTCCAAGTGGCTCATTTGCAGTAAAGTCAGGATGCATCTTTGTCAGGTTTATCAAGGCAAGATGACTGAGATGCAGGGAAGACAGTGGTAGGATTTCTGCTTGTGGACACAACAACAGGAGGCAGTGATGAAAACAGCGAAGAAACTTTTGATGCTGGAGTGTTTATAGCATTCAAAATGGCTCCCTCTGGACTAACCAACAGTTTTTTGATAGATGTGTCTAAGTGAAACACTGAAGTGTTGCCTGGTAAATGGGAGTTTGGAGGGTAACCAGCAGAAACGACAGAAGATGTAGTTACAACATTAACAGGAGATTTTATCACTGATGACACAGCTGGTGTTGCTGCTGACAGCAGAGTACATGAACTAACTGGAGTACTAAGTATCTGGGGTGTTGCATATACGATGGGTAAAGCATCTGCAGAACCAAAGGAGTTCACAATTTTTGTAGAACTTTTCAAAGGAATTTTTGATATTTGCCAACTTAATGAATTACTTGGTGCTAGCATGATTTTAGAGTTTATTGGACTAACAACAGGTATACCTTGAGGTTCCTGGCCATGATTAATACTGGTATTACAAGAGAGAAGAAGAATGTGGCTGCCAGCTCCAAGGCCTTGTGGTGGAACAACAAAACGAGAACCATTAATCATCATCTGTGTTCCAGGTGCCAAAGGCATACAGGTGTTAATGACTATTTTCTGTTGAATGCAAGGTTCATTCCACTGACCTCCTGCCTTGCTTGTTAGAGTTGGTGAACTTGCAGACAGCTGAACAGCAGAAGCACAAGTGTCAGTATGACTTCGTTTCCCTGTACTGGGAGACACCTGCTTGCACTGTAGAGAAGAAAAGCTGGGAAAACTAATGACTTTGCCTGTATTTGGCAATGGAGGGGACAACACGCTCTGAGGTTTGTGAAGAACTGCATTACTCGGTATAGTAGCCAAAACTCCTGATGGCTGAAAGTGAAGTGGCATGGGCAATTGGCTCTTTTGTACTGGAGGAGAAGCTGGAACTGCTGTCAAGTGAGGAACTGTATGTAACAATTTATGGGGGGTGGCTACCGCTCCAGGCAAGCTAATGACTGGAAATTGCAAAGCAGATGCCACGTTTTGAAGAGATACTGTTGGTTGCGTTGTTGAAATCAGCACAGATGAAGCAAGATGTCCTGTTTTCACAGTTGATACACCCACAGTATTTCCACTATTTGATGTACACAGTCGATTACCCAGAACTGGCCTTATTCTTGAGGGATCATTTCCCTTAATAAAGACAGTGGGCCATGTCCCACAGGAAGTCGCACTTGATGTTGCTGAAACAGATTCTACACATGCATTTGCTGTTGTTACTCTAGAGGCACTTTCAGCTTTTGTTGTAACACATACAGGTTCATTAACTGACACAGCACTTTGACTCACAAAGCTCGGAACAGGAATTAAAGCACTGCTACTTGTCAAAGTTAGTGCCAAGCCAATGCTCTTCTTGTCTTCTCCTTCAGAAATGGCAGAGTGCAATATATTAACTGGTGGAGCCTGTTGTACACTGCCTTTTGTATTTACAATGGTTTGACCTATATTTAGTCCAACTTTGACATCTTTTACTTGAGCAATGGTTGGTGATGAACTCATTCTTATTGGTGCTCCTGCTGTCGATGGGATCAGAACCAACTGTGGTTGTTCTGTAGCATTAACAAGAGTTTTGCTTAGGGAAGAAGGAAGGTTATGTTTTAATGCCTCTGCAACTTGACTGGTGGTTGATGGGCCACTGGCAATTTGTGTGTTAATAAAAACCAACTTCTGAGCATTAACAGCAGTGGATGCCAGAGAGGGTATAATACTGACTCCTGATGCCCCACATGGTGATAAAATAGGTGGACTTGTGACTAATGTAAATTTCTGGACTGGAGTACCACTGATTAAATCTCCATTTGTTGCTGAGTTAGACTCAGACTGTGTAGCAGGTTTTATTTTAGTTTTAGTATAACCTTGCTGCTGCACTAAAGAATCTGGAGTTATGACAGCATTATTTTGTCCAATGCTAGTCACACTAACAGGACTGTTTGGAGCTGCTGACATCAAATTGCTAGCTAATGAGATGGAGGGTAAAGAAGAGGACGTACAGCAGGAGTTCTCTATTACCTGGCCCAAAATACTCCCAACAGCAGGCTGCTGTAATGTAAATTTTGTATTTTTCTCCATTGCCTGGGTAAAATCAGCTGGGAAAGCTGGAATGTTAACAGAAGCAGCTGTTGATGGGGCAAACCCAGAAGATGGTGCTTGTCCAGTATGTGGGAGACCAGATGTGGCTGTAGCTACAGATGGAAGAGTAGAGCATAACAATGCTGTGGTTTTTGGCACAAGAAAAGTCTGAAACTGAGGTGTGTAAGTGAGAACTGAACTAGATGATAAACTACTAGGTGAAATCTGGTCTGGGTTTGTTTGCACTTTAACAATTCCTGTGTTTCCGCCTCGTGTTGTGACCAGAATAGAATGTGATTCTCTTATACACACAGTCTTCAGCTCTTGCCTAGCTTCAAAGGAGTCATTCGTCTGCTGTGATGCAACACTATGACTGGCAGAAGCAGTGTTTGGAGATGCACTTACTGCTGTTGCTGATATCATAGACTGGCTAGCTGTGGAAAGAGTAGGTGAAGTCAAAGACACAGGGAATGTGGCAGCTGAAACTGTAGTCTTGATTTTGTCAGTCTGGAGCATCTTAATTGATGATAACAAGTTACCTCCTGAAGTTACAGCAAGAGTGGATTGTGTAGTGTTTATGGGACCAGTCACTTGTGACAATTGGGTAATATTCTTGTTAAAAATTGTACTAAATGACTGAGTGGTAGTACTTGTAGAACCTGTTACTAGAGGAGGTTTTAAAGAAACAGTGATATTTGATATTTCTGGTAAAACTGTATGTTGCAGTTCTGATGATTCTTGTAGTGACTCAGTGTCCTTGGACACAATTTTTCCTTCCTTCTGCTGAATAAGAAAATTCTTAGGTAAAATAAGAACTTGTTGCATGACTTTTTCTCCAGTTTTAGGGTCAATCACAGGTTGCACTTGAATTTTCACAGAGCTGTTGTGAAGGTCTATTGGTACACAGTTGCCACTTGGCATTTTGTATATAATTTGTAAAGGAGTTTTTGAGTTGGTCTGGGAGGGCAATGCTGGTTTTATCAGTGATGATTTCAAAGGTGATAAAACTGGATTTTCAGAAGTAGACACATTTATGCCTTGGGGAGGTACCAGCTGATTCATTAAGGTCACTTTGTTCCCAGTATTCTTGGCAAGCAAGGCCTGGATGGGTTTGGTCCCTTTCAGAAAGTTTGACACTGATATTGTAGGTTCTGCCAAGGAAAATGATTGCACAGTTGACCCTTCAAATTTATTCAGCGTAGCCAAACAACTATCTGGCTGCAGGCTACTTTCTGAACTCTGGGTCACAGCCTCAATACTGCTCAGTTTAGCTTTCTTCCTTGGTGAAAGTTCATTAGTGCTTTGATCCAGACAACTACTTTGCTTGGACTGTCGTTTAACACACTTTGGAATTGTCTTCTGTATTTCTTTAGAAGTTGATTCTTTTTTCAGAATTCTGTGTTTTCCTGCAGGGAAGTTCATCTCTAATAGTTTTGTCTCATCTGCAAGGATATTAGAACAGAAACTGTGTTTTACATGTTTGCAATTGATAACTCTTTATAACAATTTTACAGCACCTAGCTGAAGGCAAAACGCTACTTCGCAAGCATAAGGACACGTAGAAGGAGAATGTCTGCTTCTTTAAGGTTATCTGGTCAAGGTGGTAAATAACAAAAGAAGAAAACAGTAAGAATATACAGGGACACAAACCCAACTGGCATAGGAGACAAGAAGAAACACCAAGCCTGGTCATTCACACTAATTGATAAAGGTGTGTGAGAGAGTGAGAAAGTTTATTCCAGCAAGGTTATCTCATCAAGGACATGGTTAATTAGGAAACTGAGGGAAAAAGGGAGAAGGCAGAAAAAAATAATACAGAGACACAGATCAAACAAGCACGGAGACAAAGACAAGAAGGAACTTCACCAGTCAAAACAACTGATGGGCTATCAAAAAACAGCAGGTGCCCTTTCCCGGATAGTCAACCTGGACTTTGCAACTGATATGATTGTAAGCCAGGGGAAATCCTGGACACTAGGCTGTTAGGGGTGAAGGAACCAGTAGTTATACAAGACCAGGAAAAGATGTGCAGCAGAAGGAGAAGTTACAACCAGGGTTACAGTCTGTGTGATTTGTGCCAGCTGTTGGGTGAGTGTCTGTGTCTTCCCCAAACCCAGTGTGTATGGAGGCAGTGTGTGTGTATTCCCTTGCAAACTTCAAGCCACACTACCTAGTGAGGAGGGTGGCGGGCTGGGGTCTGGGCTGGTGTGTCAGTCAGAATTGTGAGTGTGGGGTGCCTGCAGGACCAGACTGAGTACCACGTTTCATACTGAGCAAACAACGCATGAAGAGAATATGAGGGCCCAGGATACAGGCAGGAGTACCAGGTGGACAGAGGGCCTGCACTGAGGTTTTGAAAAGGTTTTGGCAGTGGAAGCCTGCAGAGGGTCCTCTGTCAGGAGAGGCCAGGAGCTGCCCCATGCCAGACACAACTGGGTCCAAACCAGATCCACTGCAGGACATGGCTGAGCCCATCAGCCAAGCTGGTGATGCCTCATGGAAAATGCTACACAGAAAAGTGTGATAGAGAGGAGTGTGGAAAAAAACTGTAGGAGAAGCAACCCTATAGCAACCAAGGTAATTGAGGATGGAAAGAAAACAGGTGCTCCACCCACTGGAACGGATTCCTCTGCAACCTGTGAAGATCACAGTGAAGCAAGATGATCCCCTCCCATGGAGTACCATGCTGGGGCAGGTATCTGCACTGCAGTCTGTTGAGGACCCCATTTCACAGCAGCTGAATATGCCCTGAAGGAAGCTGCTGTGGAATGGAGAGCCTATACTGGAGCAGGCTTCTAAGAGGAACTATAGCTTCTCAGGGATCCACACTGGATTAATCTAACCCTGAAAGACTCTAGGCTGTGGAGAGGATCCATGCTGGAGCAGTTTGTGAAGGACTGTATCCTATGGGAGGGATTCCACATTGGACCAGTGCAGAAGTGTGGGGAAGAAGAAGTAGACATGAAGTGTTATGAACTGACCTCAACATCTAGTCATAGAAACATAGAATCCTAGGAGTTGGAAGTGACCTCGAAAGACCATCTAGTTCAACCTCTCTGCCAGACCAGGGTCACCCAGAGCACATCACACAGGAACGCGTCCAGGCAGGTTTTGAATGTCTCCAGTGAAGAAGACTCCACAACCTCTCTGGGCAGCCTATTCCAGGGCTCTGTCACTCTCACAGTAAAATAGTTTTTTCTGATATTCACCTTGAACCTCCTATGCTCCAGTTTGCATCCACTGTCCCTTGTCCTATCACTGGTCATCATTGAAAAACGCTTAACTCCATCTTCCTGACACTCACCCTTTACGTATTTGTAAACATTGATGAGGTTACCCTTCAGTCTCCTTTTCTGCAAGCTAGAGAGACCCAGCTCCCTCAGCCTTTCCTCATAAGGGAGATGTTCCACTCCCTTAATCATCCCTAGCCCTCTCTGTGCCAGTGAGCAGGGGAAGAGAGCAGAAGAATTGGGAGCAAATTTGAGACAGGGAAGAAAGTGCAGATTGGGGGAAGGGGGAAAGGTATTTGAGTTTTTATCTTTCTCACCACCCCACTCTACTTTTAAGTGGCAGTAAATCAATTTATTTGCTTGCAAGTGAGTCTGTTTTGCCTGTGACAGTAACTTGTGAGTGATCTTCCTGTCTGTATCTTGATCCATGAGCTTTCCTATCTTATTTCCTCTCCCTGTCTGTGAGGGAAGGCAAATGACACAGTGGCTGTGTGGGCATTTGGCAGCCAGCCAAGTTCAATGCACTATAAATATACATTCTAAGAAGACGTACTATGTTAGTACAGAAATAGTTAAGCACAAAAAATGGTAAAAACTTGCATTAATCAGAATTTTTATCTTGGTCATGTCTGCCCTCCTCTAGTCTACATCTGTCAACACACATCACAAGCTATTTCAGTATTACTACAGCAGCAGAAAAGGTAAAAAAGCAGGGCACAAGCTCACAGGGAAAAGTTAATGTCCTCAACCAACTTGATTCCAACTTGATTCTGTATCATGTTCAAGCTACCAAATTCCAGTAAATGCTTACCAGTTTCTGAGTGATCTTTTTCAGGAACTTTCACATGTTCTACAGACTCTGAAGATTTAGTGCATGCTACTGTAAAAGAATCTTTGCCAGAATCAACTTCACTTTCATCATTACTCCACAATTCTCTGTTAAATTTTTCATGGTCTGGATGTCTTTTAAAGTCGTCGTAGTCCTTCTTCAATCTAGACCTTGAAAATAACAAAACTAACTTTACTAAAGAACCAAACGAGTTTTAACACCTTTTTAATCTGTATTTGCTGCCACACAAAAAGTTGTGGCCAAACTGCTTGAGCCACTAAAAAAAAATTCACTTAAGTTCTGTCTGCAAGTTTCTAAAACCTAGAAAACTGAATTCCATGTCATTAACTCGCCTAAAAATAAGACAAAAACCTGAGTCAAATATGACCATCACCATTTTGCTGCATCTATCTTCTGTTTCTGTTGCATTGTGACAAATGTACCTGTATGGACTTCTGTATTACCTGTAATATGTCTACTCTTTTGTCTAAAGGCAAGCCCCAAGAGGGAATTTAGTAAATCTTTATTTTCTTAAATGCATAATGCTTTTGGCCCTGCTAGGGGACTGTGATGTAAATTTTTATTTAAGAAAACTTTCTTATCTCTGGGCCATTAGAAGAGCTGCCATCATTTCCATAGGCTTACACTCCACTAAACAATGTGCATAGGATGGAAACACATAACTGCCTTATTTATTCGAACACCATTCAGAAACATATCCACTTACCTTGACACTCTTAAACTGCTACATATTTCCATTGTCCTTTCTTCTAAACAATTGTTTAGATAAGATTGATAGGGTATTTTAGTGTACAAATACAGTAAACTACAGGACTCAGCAGGTGGTAACCAACACAATATCTGGGAAGATTATTTAGCAAACAAATAATTATAAGAATCAGCACCCTGTGTGGAATAAAATCTAGTCTGAATCTAACACTTAAGAGAACAAGATCTTACATTTACCCAGTCTTATGTGTTAAAGCAACAGTTTGCACTGAGTGCAGCACTGGCCAGCTGCTCCCTAAGAGATTAAAAGGGAGGAGTCAAGCATGATGTCACAGCTGGCAGGACATAAGCCTCACCAGTCAGGATGTCATCCCATTGCATCTGAATGAAGGAGCAGGGCAGGCCTAGGGTTGGCAGCTGGGTTCAATCAAGAGCCAGATCAACAACCAAGTTAACAGTGCTGAGGAAGGTCTGAAGTCAAGCTGGGAAGTAAATTTACAGGGTCAGATCAGAATCAAGTCCAGTGATGACTGCAAGGGTCAGGACTCCGCTGAGTGATTTATGGGCAGGTCCACAGTGATGATGCAGCTCCAAGGTCAGTATGATGGTCAGTCCAGATGAGTGGGACCCATGGCCAGACAGGGTAACTGACATAGTTAAGCTGGAAACTGGCAATACTACAGCAAAGACTGAAGGCTACAGAATGACAGCGATCCTGGGCCCATGGGCAGGTGATGTGGATGGAGGCCCAGGTGAACCTGGTCAGGATCAGTAAGACCTAATTGTTTACTCACATCTTTGACACTCATTGAGAGAAAACAACCTTGAAGTCTGTATTAAGATGAAGCATGGATGAAACTTCAACTCTGATTTTAAGGTTGATGTCTAGGTATAAAAGAAATATAGGAGGACACTAGGAAGCCACAGGAGGACACTAGTGAACCACTATCATAACGTACTTCTAGATGGGAACTTAATTCTTTCCTTTGGAGGAACTTCTGCTTTGGGACCAGTGAACAAATTCCATCAGTGAGCCCAAGCAGTAACCTTTCCTTTTAAATCTTGCTGCTATCCAAATACCACTTAGCATTATATGCTGTCATAACTTTTAAAAGACCAGAGCACCTTTCAGAAGGGGAGGAAAAAAAAAAGGATTTTGATCATAAATAGTGCTCCTACCAATTAAAAACAAAAAAGAAAGGAAGGAAAACTCCAGACTCTTACGCCATACTTAGGACTTGCATAAACAGAAGGAGCCATGCCCAGCCCTTGATGATCTAGAGGGCCAATGCTGTCATGCAACTAGTAGACGTCACTGGCAAGCTGAGACATACTACAGACACTGTGACTGCAGCTAAGCTTGTGGTGGCACTGCTGTTTACACCAGCATAAGCAACCCTTTACTCAATTGCTTTTTCCTTTTCACATGACACCTTTCTTCACTACTGTCATTGGTGCTACACAGCTGCCTAAAAGCTGAAAAATGAACCCGACCAAGACACTGATGTAGCCTTCCCCCAAGCCTTGCTCTTTCTTCCCCACAATTTGTAAAGATTGTTTTTCAGCTGGAGCTGTGCTGGTATATTACAAGTCTGTCCAAAGAGTTATATAATGAAAATAATTCAGGTAGCATTGCTAAATAGAATGGAGTTATAGCCTAAAAGATACATCCTGAGAAATCTAAGTTATCTCAGAAATTAACCCCATATACTAGAAACTGAAATTCTCTCCATTAGTATTACTATCTGATATTTCCAAAAGGAGTCTGAATTGCTACAGACAGAAAGACATGAATAACTGAGGAAAATAAGCGGAAGCTGGAATAGAAAGGAATAGAAAAAAGCAAAGCTCTTACTTTGATCCATTATTTAAAGCAAAATGTTCAATTTTCCAAATAAGGACTTAATTCATGCATGATATCCATAAAATAAGCTACTAAGAAACCAACTCTTAGTAATTCTGTTTACTGCCTTTGGTGTTACGATGGTGTTTTTTTCAAATATTATACCTTTTATACTTTTCAGAATTAGTTCTGCACTATGGGACTGTGCAAGTTGCTTCCTTCACACATTTAAGCAGCTGACTGACTTTACCTATTATCTGGCACAGTTCAAGCTCCTAATAATAACTTGGTTTTTAAATGCCTATATGGCAGAACTAAGTTATTATTATAGCAACAGCTGTATAGCTAATAGACAACAACACCAAACTTGAAAACACAATAGCCATACCAAATCAATACTCAGCCTCTTCAGGATTTGTAATCTGCATAGCATCTTCACTGCTTCTAATACTGGCCCATACTAGATTTAAATCAGCCACCATTTCACTGATGTTTCTTGACACACCTTATTTCAGATGCATTTCAAATTTACAAGGTTACAAAGACCTCAAAAGAAAGAATGCTTTAATTTTTTAATTTTTTTTTGTGGCTTTTGACAGTAAGCAGTCTGACAAAGTATTCTAAGCGGCACTAGTCTAGTTTTCTAGATACAGGTTTTCAGCACATCTAAACCAAATAAATAACAACACAAATCCTAGGTGGATTGTGATATAACTACTGGTAGGGATGCTTAAAGATTCCAAAGCATTTTAAAGGAAAAAGAAGATAAAATTAGGAGGTTAAACTCAACTTTATTGAGAGACAGTAAGACTGGAACATAAAATAATGCTTCCAACTAAAGCACTGCCAGTGCCTCAAAGTTTTGTTTTCATTTATTTGAGAAGCCAAATTGATTAACTTTTAAAAGGTAAATTTTGTTCTGTTTTCCAGCCCATGTACTACTCTTTGAAAAAGAGCAGCTAATTACCTGTTTCTTTGAAATGCTTTCATTAGCTTTGGTTCCCATGGTAGCAGCTCATTAAGCAGTCGTATCAACGTACCATGCAATTCCTTTACTGCTTGCTTTCGGTGGTACCATCTTCCCTGCAAACATAAATACCGTTTTTCATTGCATTAGACCAGAATCTTGTTATATTGTATTAGTACTACAATAATCCTGGTACACTAATACAGCATATGAGGAGAATAACTGGAAAAAAATATTAGTAAGTTACAATTACAGCTACCCTTAGCCTATAAAAGACATTAATACTTACACTTTTATACTATGGAGAGAATGTTCTAGTTAACAAAAGCAATACTACAAGGACGTTTGTTTTTTACAGGGCGAACTTCAAACCCATGCACAATCCTACAAACACAGTATGTGTTTTAAATTACTCAACTGAGTAACTCATGTAGTTAATAATACATTCAGGACAGGGATGCCAACCCTGTATATACACTTGCAAGAGACAGCAATTTCTACAGAAAATCTTACCTTAATCTCCTTTAATGTAAGTGATATAATTTATATTCTTATTATTTGCAAGAACTATTTTCTATAATTTTCAGAGATAAAACCACACAGTTTTTGCATGATATTTTTGTATCTTATTCAATTTTCTAGATAACAACTTTTTTTTAAGAAAAGTTTTGCATTTTGGTCATTTATGAAATAACAGACTATGCAGCAGTTTTCTTACATAAAAGCTTTAAGATTTTAATTTAAATGTATTAAGATTAAAACTGGCTTTTATTTCCAAACTGATACACATAATGTTATGATCTTCCAGGAAGAATTCATGTTTTAATACATCTGGAAAAGCTGAATGAGGATAAAAGACACTAGGAAAATACAATTAGCATGTATCTACATGCAGCACAACCACAGAGGTCATAATGCTGAAGACACGTCTTAACACCTTTAGATACCCCTTGTGAATTTTTCTTCCCAGAAACGTATTCTCTTAGTTTATTACATATATATGCATTGCTCAGTCTTTCATGTACCATCTACAAAAAGAGATGCAGTATATTCTAGTATTTCTGCCACTCCAGTAATTCTGGGCATTTTGCATAAATGAGGATTTTATCTCAATTTGTCAGCAAGGATGTAAGACAGTAAAGAGACTATGCTTCTGCAAGAAAAAGAAGTAAGGCTTGGGAACTTACTTCTTTCATGTGCATGTTTAGCTTTTGATAGAGCTCATATCCTTCAAAGCTTCCTTTGGTCCAGCATACCAAGCAATGTAGGGCAGGAAAAGCTGGACAAATCTTGATACAGCTGCCTTTCCAAAGTCTACAATAGTGATTGTTTTATGGACTTTGGAATAATTCCTTTCCACACATTTCAGCAGATCTCTTCAATGAACAGCAAGATCAGTCAGGCTGAATGCTTCTTTGAAGACCAGGTATACATATTTTTACAGATAATAATTTACATGTTACGTAACAAAAAAAAAAAAAAAAATCACTACTTCTTCATTCTTCAATTAAAATTATAAAAGCAAAATTTTTCAGTAGGAAATTCTGCCACATTACCACATAATTGTTAGTGTTGAGCTCACAAACAAGTCAGCAAACTGTATTCTAGTTTCCTTCATTTGTAGCTAGTCATACTTGCACATGTAATGCATTGCAGCATAAAACCTACCACTGAGCACTGCAAGAGAAAACAACCCTTGTGCTTCCTGTAGCCTACCAAGGCTTTTGGGATTACCTCCCAATGTTACCAGCAAACAGAATTGCTAACAAGAGAGAACATTACATACACAGATTTATCTCTCTTGTAAGATACACAAAATTTCAGACAGTTTTGAAAGCATTAATTTATACATTATACAGTATTGTGGATTGTACCAAAATAAAACCGGCAAAAATAATAGCGCTACTATCAGGATATAGAAATAAACACAGAATCATGGAACGATTTTACTTGGAAGGGACCTTAAAGATCATCTAGTTCCAAAACCTCTGCATTGGCAGGAACACCTTCTATTAGACCAGGTTGCTCAAAGCCTCATCCAACTTGACTATGAAAATTTCCCCATGATGGGGCCTCCACAGCTTCTCTGGGCAAGGTATTTCAGTGTCTTTCCACCCTTATAGTGAAAAATTTCCTCCTAAAGTCTAATCTAAATCTCCTCTCTTCAAGTTTTAAGTCATATACCCCTTGTCCTCTTGCTATATTCCCTCGTAAAAAGTCCCTCTCCAGCTTTTCGGCAGGCCTCCTTCAGGTATTAGAAGGCTGCTATGAGTTATCACTGGAGCCTTCTCTTCTTCAGGCTGAACAATCCCAAGTCTCTCTGCCTGTCTTCATAGGACAGATGCTTCAGTCCTCTGATCATTTTTGTGGCCCTCCTCTGGACTTGCTCCAGGAGCTCCATTACCCTCCTGTGCTGGGGGATCCAGAGCTGGACACAGTACTCCAGGAGGGGTCTCACGAGAGACAAGTAAGGAGGGAGATTCACCTCCCTTGACCTGCTGGCTATGCTTTGTTTTGCGCAACCTAGGACACAGCCAGCTTTTTGGTCTGCAAGCTCACACGGCTGGCTCATGTAGATACATTTGAAATAGCAATGAATGGGATGTTGGAAAACTGTATTAAAAACATAAAAATATACTACAAAATAAAAACAAAGAAATAATATTTTTCTATCTTTAAATACAGCTTAAGTAGGAAAAAAAAGGATTGATGATCCAGGCAAATATCAGCTGACCACTGAGTAAACTTTGAAGTGATAACTGTATCATGCATTGAATATCCAGACACAAGTAGAAGGCTTAGTCAAGAGCAGATTTTAAGACATGGCTGCCTTTGTTAAAACATAAAATAAAAACAAGTCACTTTTCTCCTTGATTACAAAAATGAACAAAAAAATAACCAATTCCCTGCCCCCTGAATTTGAGAGCTACTTTTTAACAAAAATTGTGTCCTCTGAATATAATCACTGGAAAATTCCACATTTGCTTCCAAATAATTTTAGTGCAAATATCACAGTAACATTAAAAAAAAAGTAAATTATTTCCCAATTACATGTTTCCAAATTCCCAAATTTTATCCCAATTACATGTTTTTTACTGGGGCTTAAGAGTTGACAATAAAACTGTTAGTGGCAACATACACAAACTTAAGCCATGAGAATTTTCCTTCCTCAGAAATAGCTAGGACAGAACAAATAGAGCTCAAAAAACACTGAAGGGAAAAAAAATCCTTATCCTGTAAGTTACTGCTGTTAATTTAGTCTTCTATGCCAACACTTAAGATATATGCAAATCCAGATGTTACACAAATGATTTTCTATTATTACTTAAATATTAAAATAGTAAAAAGGAATAGACATTGAAAAAATGTCTATAACCTTAAGACGCATCACTACAAAATCTAGCATTACCTTCCCTAGGCAATTCCATTTCATTACCTTAGCACAGTCTTGTAATTTTTCCAGGGGAAAAAAAAAATCAATTCAATAATTGATAAAGCTATGATTTAATTCCCTACCTTCAGCATTACATAGCTGTCTACTTTCTACAGATCATAGTGTTGCCTTTTCAGATGTGCAAATGTGTTGCAAACTCTTCTCAGTAATACGATAATACAGTAATAATACAGGAAAAAAGCTGCAAACTGAGGCTTAGGCAGTTCAGGCTGGACCTTAGAATCACTGAATCACAAATATTAGGGATTTGAAGAGACCTCTGAAGATCATGAAGTCCAACCCCCCTGCCAGATCATGACCAAAACTGGATGCTTCTGAGTGATCTGCCCTAGACAGATTTTAAAGTCTCCAGAGGAGACTCCACAACCTCTCTGGGAAGCCTGTTTCAGTGCTCTGTCACTCTCACAATTCTTCCTCATGTTGAGGTGGAACTTCCTGTGCTTGAGTTTGAATCCACTGCCCCATATCCTGTCACAGGGCACAAGTGAAAAAGAGGTTGTCCCTGGCTTCTTGACACCCAGCCCTCATGTATTTTAAGACATTAATTAGATCCCCTCTCAATCTTCTCCCCTCTAGACTGAAAAGACCCAGGTTTCTTAGCCTTTTCTTGTAAGGCAGATGTTCCAGTCCCTTAATCATCCTCACAGCCCTCTGTTGGACTTTCTCAAGTAGATCCCTGTCCCTCTTGGACTGGGGAGCCCAGAACTGGATGCAATACTCCAAGGTAAATATTTTCAACAGAAACATAGGGTATTAGAACAAGCTGGACAGAGAAGCTGTTGAATCTCAGTGCTTGCTTTCTTACTTTCAGAACATGGCTAGTCAGACTTACTGTAGCACTGAAAAAAGTCCTGTTTCAAACGTGCCTTTCAACCACTGAATACAGGGTTCTTTACAAAATTAAATATAAAATCCTGTGAGAATCACCTGTTGTGTTACGGGAATAAAAAATAAATGGAATACAACAACTAATGGTACAGAAGGAACTGACCACAGCAGAGTAGCCATGACTATTGCACTCAAGAGTAACCAAAATACAGCTGTTTAGGAAATTCCACGAGGAGTGGTTTAGTGGGACAGCAGGGTCAATACAAAGGAATAGCTACTACATCCCTATATTTCAGTCCTCTTGCCAACAAGGTGTGCGCAGAAACAGAGACCTGGATACACTGCCTTTTGGTGTTTATGAAATTCACCAGGATTGTGTTAGTAGACATGAAGAAAAATTATACAACCACATGAATAGAAGACAGTACTTCAGAGGTAAAAAGGATCTTTATCACTGAAGAGAAACAGGTATGTGAAGAAACAGTTCCCCTTCGATTTACCTGAACTAATTCTAAGTTTGATAAACGCTTGCATTCCTAACTGATTCTTTAAAATCCAGTACGTAACTTGAATGTGCACTAACTTATGTTCTTATGTGGTCTGTAATTCACACTGCCAGTACCGCTACTTCCATACTTTGGATCTGACTGGTAGTTACCATCAGGTTCCAGGTAGTGATAAACAAAACACTGTTTTCTTCCGGAAACACAACGTAGGGGGATTAACAGCAGAACAAAAAGCAAAAAAGGCCTAGACAGATAACAAGTGTAAAATGTGACTTTCAGCTGTGGTAAGTTAGAAGTAAATTAAAAAAATGAAAACATAGTAAAAATA